ACCGGTACTTGAGTCTAGATGCGGTGGATGCCTGGCTGCGCACTTAGGCGGTTGCTCGTTACACCTGCTGCTCCTACGGCTACCACCACACCATGCTACTGACGCATTTGTGACAGACATGGTTACGATCAAGAAGATTGACGGAAGACGATCATCGACAACAGAGACCGCGGCCACTTCGGACAACTGCTGTTGCGCCTCCTCCTCCTCCTTCTCCTCCTCCTCCTCCTCCGCTTCCTCCTCCTCCTCCTCCTCCTCCTCCGCCTCCGCCTGCTGCTGCTTGTGCTGGTATGACCGAGGTCCAGCAGCAAGAATCACCCTCATGGTCGTATAAGCCTATAAGCAACAGTACTCGTGACCACATCTCCCTGTGACAAGTTCCCACGATTGCCCCCAGACCTTGACAGGTTCAGTCTTCGGACGTTTGGGTGCGCGCCGGGACCACAGCTACTTTAGGGGTGTAATAATTACCAACACTATTTTGGGGGTTCCATTATAGTACAATATACCCCCGAAGACCTTTTGTAATTATGAAGGCCCCCACGTAATTTCCCAATCCTAGTCATTAAGGCCCCTGCGTTAGGCCCAATCCGGCTCTTGGTGCCCTGTGCAGTGCACCAGACCATGGGTCCTGAAACCCTAACCCTGAAAGCCCCTTTCTTGGTCTGTCTCACCTTGTGTATGTCTGCGATGGACAGACTAGGGAGACCTAGGCATTACACAAATTTAAAAGAAGAAAGGGGCTAAACACAAGAAAGCCCCTTCCACGACAACTTGAAGCTCCGAACCTAAAGCCTCACAATCCTAAAACGATCTCCAAGACCAGGCCAAGCTCAATCTGCAAGGAATGTACGGCATCCTCACGCAGGCTCTCGCCATAGGGTCTCGGGGTGTATGCTTTGTTTTCCAAGGGGTGCGATCCGAGTTCTTGTAGGTCTCTATGCTTTTGGGTCAAGACTGGCTCGCCTCTAGAAGTGTTCTATAAGGAATATTAGGAGGGTTTTGTGCTTCTAAAGAGTTCTGAAGGGACGCAAAGGGTTCTACCAGGGTGCCCATGGGCCGGGCGGTCTGCTTTTTCTTCATTTCAGGCCATTTCAGGCCTCCCAATGTTAGGATGCTAAAACAGAGGTAACCGAAGTAACCCTCAATCCGAAACCATGAAGAGGTTTGGATTTGAAGTTGCAGGTTCAGTGCAAGCATAGGATTTCAGGGTTGAGCCGAGGTGTGGTAGTCTGTACTAGACTCCCGAGACTCAGACGACTCTCTTGTGAGGTGCTTATACTCCATTATAGTAGACTTTTCACTTAAGACCCTACTCCAATGATGCAGGTCGCCATGTTAGGGTGTGGTTTAGGGTTGGGACTGAAGAACCGTATGAGCTGCTTTCAGTGCACCAAGCGTTCCGACATTGCCTCAACTCGAACCAGTAAGGACAGTCATTTGCGGACCCGGTAAGTGATTGCAAGACCCTCAGCCTCTTACAATACCCTAAACCCTAATTAAACCCTAAACCCTAAATCCTAAACCCTAAACCCTAAACCCCTAAACCCCTAAACCCCAAAAGACCCCGAAAACTAAAAGACCCCGAACCCCAAACCCTGGAAGCCCTGAAGCCCCAAAGTTGCCCTCAACCCCGAGAGGCTGAAACCCTGAAGTAGCCTAAAGCCCGAAACCCTAAGGGCCCACCCTAAACCCTAAGGGTTTAGGGTTTAGGGTTTAGGGTTTAGGGTTTAGGGTTTAGGGTTTAGGGCCCTAAACCGCAAAGGACTCAATAATTAGGGTTTAGGGTTCCTTTAAAGCGGTCGATAAGGGCCCATGCTATAATGGCTACTATAAGGGTTCGAAAGTATAGGGGCCTAATTAGGTACTTGGGTTTTGGATAGTAGTTATGTAGCTCAAGATTTAGGAGAGTATATGATTATTAGGTACGTGGACCCTTAGGGAAAGCTGAAAGCCCAGAAGCTCGAAACTCCCAGTCCCATTGAGGCCGAGAGCAAGGCTAAGATTGGGTTCTTGTTAAGGGATTTAGGTTAAGTTACCATAATTGGGATCTGTAGTGAATCATAGGTTTCCGTATTATGGTAACATTAAGGGATTTAGTTAAAATTACCATAATGGGGATCTATGTAGTGAATAATAAGGTTTCCGTATTATGGTAACATAAATTAAGTCCCTTAAACAAGAACCCAGAAGAGCAACCAGCCCTGCACCCGCAGAGCCCCAATTTCCAAAATCTCCAAACCCCTGAGCCCTACGTACACTACCTATGGTCTGTAGTTCCTTTTTGGGGTTACCTTATAGGATCACCAATATATAATTGGTTAAACCAAGAAAAGGAACTACAATGGAGACTATAGGTAGAAGCCTAAAAGTTGGAAACCCTTTATCCTCAATCCTTAAAATCAATGTACAGGGAATCCCAGCTCTATTTGGCCTTAATCCGGTTTCCAACTTTAAGGGGCTTTCTGTAAACCCCAATAGCCCGAAAACCGGAAGCGCTAGACCCCAAAAGCCTTAAAACCCTAAACCCTAAACCCTAAACCCTAAACCCTAAACCCTAAACCCTAAACCCTAAACCCTAAACCCTAAACCCTAAACCCTAAACCACTAGCCCCAAACCCAAGAAGCCCCCAGAGCACTAGCTCTCGGCAGCCCTACAGGGAACTCCAGAAAGTTGGAATATCTGAAACCAGGGTAGGATACCTTATAATTTACCATAAAGGGTTGAGGATAATCATATTCCAACTTTCTGGCTTCTACTGTACAACGAGATGCAGGTCCCCAACATTACTTGGCACGACTTTGAGACACAGGTGAGGCCGAACTCTACTGATGAGCCTCAGACACCGCATTCGGGCTTGTGCTGCCTTTTTTGGTCTTACCTAAACACACCGAAGTAGGTAACTTAATGGCCCAGCACCCATAAAAGGCCATTATTCTACCTACTTTGGGGGTCCAGGCAAGGGTTAAGGGATTTGAGGATCTTGCTCCTGTAAGGTTTAGAGTTCATAGGGCAGCAGGCTTTAAGGCGTTGGGCTTCGAGTTTAGATTTCAGGCTTTCGGGTATTGGGTTGGGTGTTTCAGGGTTTAGATTTAGGGTTTCAGGGTTTCGGATTTCACTTGTTTCAGGTTTCTTTATGTACCTGGGCCTCCGAGATCTCTCTGAACTGTCTGTCCGATGTGATTGAAGAACAGCTCAACCTAAACTCCTGAACCGCCTGGCCCCTGAACTCCGAAACGCCCTACGCCCTGAACCCCTTGAATCCCTAAACCCTTAACCCTGAAAGCCCTAAACCTTACAAGTTTGGTACCATAGAGGCCTGAATAAATACCTATACTATTTTTGGGGGGCTCCTTCTTACAATTATAGTATCATGGGCCACTAAGCTCTTCAGGTTTGGTATCCTTCTCGTCTAAAATCTGATCCCGCCATCTTAAGACTATTAGACGGATTAGGGTTTAGAGTTACCCTGCAAGACTACCCAATACCAAAAAGGGAGCCCTTTTTATTCCTAGGTTTCTTGGGATCCTAGTACTTGGAGGTTCATGGGTAGTTATAAGTAGATATATAATCCCCGAATATGAGTTACAAGTATAGTTACCCTACTTAGAACCCTACTCAAAACTGCCCATGGACCTCCAAGTACCAGGATACCCTTCTCGTCTAAAATCCGATCCCGCCATCTTAAGACCATTACACGGATTCAAAGAGCGATCCCTTTTTATTCCGAGGTTACTTGGGATCCTAGTACCCAAATAGCATCAAATATCAAATAGCCATCGACATGTACAGCCCTAGCCGTTAACTTCAGGAATGCATTGTCATCGTCTCGGCGACCATCTTGGAGAATGTGCAGAGACTGATGCGACGGTAGTCTAAGGCTTTCTGTGTAGTTCCAGGTTTCGGGCTTTTGAAGCTTACGGCTTTTTAGGCTCGGAGTAGTAGTCTGCAAGCTCGCGATTCAGAATTTCAAGGTTACACGCCAAGGGATACATGCCAGTGCAAAAGCAGCGGAGCTCGCTGCTGCCGACAAAGCGCACTTACATCCATACGTTTCACCGCCTGCGCGAGACACTCAGTGGAGAAAAGAGGTTCAATCCGCGCGAAGGGCGGTGATCTTCAACGTATGACCTGTCAACGTTTAGGGTTAAGGGTTAAGGGTTTAGGGTTTAGGGTTAAGGGTTGAGGGTTTAGGGTTTAGGGTTTATGTGTCGCTGCCGTTTGAGTGTGGCCATTGTGACATAGTGCTTGCAGGGACTTCGCTTCTGGTTTTGTTGTCGAGATCAGCCATTCCTCGAAAATGTGGCCCACCCTGCTAGACCCTGGAGCTGTGTTGGCCATCGGACTACACAGGTAGCTGCAGAAACACTCGGTAGTGATGCTTCTGAACGGATCATGCATACGACTACGATGATGAAGATTTCGCTGACCAGCACGATCCTGGTCATAATGGTGATGTGGATGACGGTGGTAATGACAGCCGCTGGGAGCCCAAGAAAGACGATCGGAAGTGCTAAACCCTAAGCCCTAACAAGCCGCCTGACTTGTTTCCGATATGGGTGGCTGTCAAAATTAGGGTGCCTTTTTGGGTTCCCTAAATAATAGGTGCCGTAATATAGTAGAGACCCACAAAGGACGTTCACCCGGAAGCCCTTGCCCGAATCCGAAAGCCCTGAGCCAGAGACACTGAAGCGGAAATCTCAGACTAGAAGCCCTAGCCGGAAGCAAAAGTCATTCACAAGATACCCTGCTATTTGTATAGCAGCGTGTCAGAGACTCCCAAACCTCCTGCTGACTGTTTAGGCTTGTAAAGACATGAAATAAGTATTGAGTATAGAAAAATATGTCTATACATGCATGCATACGTACATGCATACAAACCTACAGTCATGTGTGTCTGTGTGTGCATGTGTCTGTGTGCGCGCATATCTACGTAGTTTTTCATACATTTTATACTGCAATGTTTTGCATACTTACACCAGTGCATATGGCCCGGAAGGCGCTCCTGGCGGAAGTAGGACCTGAGGAGAGCCAGAGCTCCGATCCCAGCGGAGAGGGTTTCTAGGAGTTATCTAGGCATTAGGGTTTAGGGTTTAGGGTATAGGGTTTAGGGTTTAGGCATTAGGGTTTAGGTTTTGCAAAAAGAAAATCTGGCAGTTTTCCAGGCCTTAGGGGTGAAGGGTCTTAGGGTTTAGAGGTTCTCGGAATTTTCTAGGCCTTGGGCTTCCAGAGTTCAGGGTTTCAGCTCTAGGGGCTTAGGGGTTTAGGGTTTAGAGTCTAGGGTTTAGGGGTTTTGGGCAGTAGGGCTCAGGGTACCCTAAACCCTAAACCCTAAACCGTGTTAGGACTTTAGGACTTCACGGTTTCAGGGTTGTAGAGCTCCGGATGTCGATGGTCTTGTCGACTTGGTCGTCGGTGCACGCAGCCAAAAAGGACCCTAAATAGTACATGGGAGTTTCCGAAAATAGGGGGCCCTAATCAAGTACCCTAAATAGTAGGATCCTTATTATTAAAAGGACCCCAAAATGAGGTACCCCGAATTTTCAGGAACTCTCATATCGGCGCACGCAGCCTTAGAGGGCTTTCTACCTGAAGTCACAAGCCGAGACCTAGAAGCTGAGAGTCTTGATCCAAACCCTGGGATCCAATGAACATAGCGGTTACTTGGAGGTTCATGGGTAATTGGGGTTATAATTAGCGTAACTATACTTATAACTCCTACTACGGGACTTATAACCCTACTTATAACTACCCATGAACCTGCAAGTAGGCTTAAGGAAGCTGAAATATCTGCTTCCCCAGTGCACAAGCACTGGTCCGGTAGTGCCAGGACAGGAATTTCGACAGACATGGACTGCTGACTATTGGATTTAGTCGGTTCTCCTCAGTGTGAGGGCGGACATCGAGTTGTAAATTGACATATGCCATTCCTTGTCCTGGCAGTCAATGCAGAGTGTTCAGAGCCGTTTCTGTTGCTTTCGGAGTGCATCGTCACGAACAGAGTCTTTCTGAAACCTGCAATACTTTATTCGGGGTTTTGGTTTGGCGTTTAGGGTTTGGGGTTCAGGGCAGTCCGACGCTTAATCCTCAACCCTCAGCCCTGAGCCCGAAACGCTGGTTTGCTAGGTTTTCCGGTGTAGGCTCCCGTTGCCGGATCTGGCTCTGATCGGGTGCCTGGCACTTCTCTCCGCTGGAGACCCAACTCCAACGTTGGATGGTGTAGGGATGTCGGATTAGTCCAATTTGAAACTGGGTGTGGAGTTTTGGGCAGCGCCAGTCAGGGTAAAAGACTTTCAGGAAGGGTCTCAGGAATCCGAACTCGTGGCGGGATGGACATGGCACCACTGCGGTTGATGATATAAATCCTGCATTACCTTCATGACTCAAGGCTATGGGAATTATGATATGTTCGCTATTATGGGTAATGCAGGAATTATTTCATCAACGGTATAAGAAGAGCTCTCCTGATCTTGTTTCTGGCCCGTCCCGGCATAGGCCTAGAAGATTGTTCTCCTCTGATAGCTTTAAAACAATAGTACAGGGTTCATATTCATCCTTCCTTGTATTACAAGGCCCAAAACCCCACTCTAATCATTAGGACCGAGAACCCTGGCGGCGACGAGAGTGCCTAATTCATGTTTCTGGCTTGAAGACGCGCGGGGATTTATTGCAGAGGAAAAGGAGTTCTCAGGACCTTCTTCGGGCAACAGGACCTCTTCAAAGCTTCTTTTCAGGATTCCGGAAAGGGGTATTTTGGGGGGATCGAAGAGGGGTCTATACAGTTACAAACGTAGCAGCAAAGGCTACGAGAGCAAGCACAGCAAGAGCAACAGCAGCAATGATACTACCAAGAAGAGGTTCTGGATCAGCCCTAAACCCAGATGCCTAACACGCCAGAGATCTCGGATTGAGAGACCACCCGAAGAATGAAGTTAACGTCAGATATCCAAGCTGCTCCCTCTTGCAGAAGGGCCCGGGAGCTCCACTGTAAAGCTCTGAATCCTGTAGGGAGAATCCCTAAGCCCTAAACTCAAAAGATTTGACATCCTAAACTTCAAAAGCCTCCCTAGACCCGAATGGAAAACCCAAAAGCCTGTAGAACCCCCATCCCCTCAAGCTCTGACCCTAAATGCAGAATGGTTACACGGCGCCTCCCGGCTCAAGGGCGCGAAGGGCGCGTCGAGGAGGCGGACCAAGCGAGTTCGCGTCGGCGCAGCAAAAGGGGGTTTAGGGTTTAGGCAACACGGCAAAAACCCGTGTTAGAGTTTAGTGGGCTGAGGGTTCAGGGTCAGTTTTGTTTGCGGGCTCCTCTGTTCTGCTGATACCCTAGGCCGAGCAGTCCCGATGAGTGCACAAGCGGGTACCAACTTCGTCAAGCAGCGCCGCGCCTTACATCGATGACAAAAAAAGAGCACCAAGACACCCTAGCCATTGCAGAAAGCCCCTATGCCGCCACCTCCTATACCTCTATAATCAATCTGATTCAGGCTTCAAGATAACATCCGAAGACCCAACCCAGACCTTAAGTTTAAAGCTCCTAGCACAGAGTCTGCACGCTGCGGTGGCATTGCAGTTCCTGCCACCGGGCCGGCAACTAGCTCGGCCCTTATTGATAGTGGGCGCCGGGAATTCATGGTTTGAGTTTCGGGCTTAGGGCTCAGGGTGTAGAACTTCGGGTTTAGGGTTTGGGAAGGTTCTTCAGGACTTCAAGGTATTACGAATGCTGGTGCTATAGCCGTTGTCGTTGCCATTCCCATTGCCATTGTCATTGCGCTTGCTATTGCTACTGTTATTCCTGCTGTTGCTGTTGCTAGTACTCTTAACTATGACTGCTACTGCCATTGCTATTAGCTGCTCTTATTACTACTACTACTACTACTACTACTACTACTACTACTACTACTACTACTACTACTACTACTACTACTACTACTACTACTACTACTACTACTACTACTACTACTACTACTACTACTACTACTACTACTGCCAGCATAATTACCACTATTTTCGCAGGGTCTTGTAGGATCCTCTGCAAGGTTTTAAGATCTCTGTCTGGGGTCTCGGAATCAACACGGTTTCGCATCAATCTTGGAACCACAACAAGCCTAAACCTTTTGTGAACCCTGAATCCCAACCCCGAAGCTTCAACTCCTGCACTTCTTAGGTTCAGGGTTCAGGATGGCAGAGTTCCTCCCTCCTTACCTTTCGCTTCAAATCCTTAGATTCGTTGTCAAATTTAGGGTCCCTTTTGGGGTCCTTATTACAACACGGCACTTAATATTTAGGGGACCCAAAAAGGGACCATGATTTTGACAACCACCCTTATGGATCTGAAGCTGTGGATCTGCAAAAAAGAGTCCTCAGTCGAAACGCCACTTAGATCCGGGAAGGTCCTCTCCGGGGAAAGTGAGAGCGACTGCCCTTGCTTGGCGAAGGCTTCAGCAAGCTTCGCGCACAACTTACCTTTGGTTAGTAGGGAATGGAGGAATGGGGTACAATTATAACTACTAATACTACCATTCTTCCATTCCCTACCAACCAAAGGTAAGAAGAATGGTTACAAGGTTGTAAGTTGCAGGGGTTCGAGGTTTCGGGATTGAGGGTTACGCATGTTTTTCGGGAGCTCTGCTGTCCGCAGTGTATTTGTCTTGCGGGCTTTGTAGTAGAGTAGGTAACTGTTAACTTTTTAGGGTACCCTAATCCCTACTTAACAATTCCGCTGATTTGCCAAAACTTAACTTTTATTTCCCCAGGATACTCGACAAGTAGGAAAGAGTTGTCTCTTGCGTGTGTGGTTGGGCTCCGTGCTGCTCCGAGTTCTTGTATAGGCTCGACTGGTGCTGCTTTCACCATCTTGAGGAGACAATCTTGCAATCTCTGGAGCTGATGTTCAGTCTCTCCATTTTTTGATTGACTGGAGACTTGCTCTTTGCCCTTTTCTTTCCCTTTTCTTTCGTCGCCTTTCGTGCCCCTCGCCCTTCCCATCCTTCGCTGGGGTTTGAGTTCTGCAGGCCATGCCATGGACCAGAACGAGCCTGAATCCAAAGCTTTGAACTCCATGGGCAATGGCTCCAAACCCTACTCTTCACCGGAATCTTCTACCGGGGGTCAATCACTAAAGCCTGGTTTCGGACTTGGGACACTCTGTGCAATCCTTCAGTTCTACATGTCTCAAAGCCTCTGGTCTCTTCGGAGTTTAGAACGGGGTTACGAGGATTAGGATGCCCTTAACCCCAAGTGTCATACCCCAGCCGGAATCGAAAATGTGGTTGTCAAAGTTAGGATCCCTTTTGGCCCAAATAATAGGTGCCGTGCTATGATAGGGACCCAAAAAGGGACCATCATTTTGACAACCACCCACGTGAAGAAAAGCTACGCAGCGGAAGTGCGGGCCCCGAACCCGGAGCCCTGCGCCGCGAACTTGAAAGCTCCAAGGCCGGTTTGAGGTTAAGAGGCTTCTGACTTAGACTTGAGGACTTTAGGGCTCAGGGAGTTTAAGGTTTCAGGGTTGAGGGCTTCGGGGCTTTGGAGTAGATTCTTCTTTCAAAGGGACGACAATCTACGTCCTCCATCCCAAAACATCTTGCCGAAGCCCTTGAGTGCGTTCAGAGCCTCAGATCGCACACTCCTGCCCCCCAAGCCTTACCCTTGGTTAGTAGGGAATGGAGGAATGGGGTACAATTATCTCTACTACTAGTACCATACTTCCATTCCCTACTAACCAAAGGTAAGCCCAAGCCCGGACTCGTCTCTCACATTTCGGGTGCTCGGTGACAATTACACGATTTCGTGATAGTTGCTGACCAAGTGTATATAATATCGGACATAGACCCGCAGTAGTCAGCACCGCGATGGTTTTACATGTGCGCGGTGCACGTCTGTTGTCGTAGAATCGTAAACCCTAAACCCTAAACCCTAGCAACCGGCCCTCCCGTGGTTCTGGCCGCGTTTTTCAGTCGCAGGAATGGCGCAGACTCAAAACACGCTTGAGATCAAGGCCACGCGGTTCCTCAGGTGTTGGGTGTTCGTTTGTGGTGCCCTATCCCTAAACTCTAAATGGCG